GGAAAGAGGAGAAACAAGGTTGCAGGGGATCCTGAATATAGCCTCTTTCCTGAACTAGTGGTTTCCTCATGTTCATTACCCTCACTGCTTTTGTTATCCTTTGCCTACCATGGTCACTGCTTTGAAACAACTAACCATAGTTTTAAAGTTATAATTGTTTCCCAATTTTTAATTAATCATAAAATTATGTACCAACCAGAACTGTTATCTGCATGAGAAAACTGTTTCACAGCACTAAGTTTTTAAAGCTCCAGTCAAAAATTTTAAGTCTGCATCCATTCCCTCACTGTCAGTTAATGTATTTTTCCATTAATGAGGTTTTTTGTTGCTGTTTTCGTTCTTTTCTTTTTGGCTGTGCCACACAGCTGGTGGGATCTTAGTTCCCGGACCAGGGATCGAACCCAGGCCCCCAGCAGTGAAAGCACTGAATCCTAACCACTGGATCGCCAGGGAATTCCCAATGAGGTGTTTTTTGTTTTTTTTTTTTAAAGCAATCCTACCCAGGACCCCTAAGAATCTGAGAATCCTCCCAATATGGAAGCCACAGGTCTATAACCAGGCTTCCCAGAAGCTAGGATTTGGGGAGCCTAAAATCTGTGTTTTTAAACAACTGATTTTGATGCATCTAGTCAAGTTTATACTTTTCTCTACTTGGAAAGTTTCTGTCCACTGTTAAACCCAGTTCACTCAACTGACAACTCAAATGTCACTTCTTAGAGTGGCAGTATATATTTGGTAGGAGCATGGGTTTTCAAACTGACTGCCAGAGTTCTAATCCTGGCTCTGGCCCCTGGACAAGTTACTAAATCTTTTTATGCTTAATTTCTTCATTTGGAAAATAGGGACAATAACAGTACCTACCTCATATGGTTGTTGTGAAGATTAAACGAATTAATACAAGTAAAGCAGTAAAGACAGAGCTGGCACACAGTAAATGAACAATCAATAACTTATTATTTCTATGATTTTCCTACCTCTCCTAAATTAAATCAATAGCTGTATACAATATCTGTTAAGACTCTAACATTATGTAAAGCAATTACATTTTAAAAACTTGTCTTCCACACTAGATTATGAGTTCCACAAGAATACAGACCATGACTCATTGATTTTTCTATCCTCAAATCATATTCTCTTATTATGCTCTACTGTCACTGAATTATCTATCAACCCAGTGGAAAACTAACTGTCATTGCTTTTTAGTTGAAGATTACTTACTTTACAATGTTTCTATAGGCCAAATTTTCACCACTGCAGGCTTCTAACACTTTTTATAATGAATACACATGCAGTTGATGAAATAGAAAAATGCTCTATTAAGGGCCCATTCAGAGTGAAGTATGATAGGTAAATAAACACTACTATTTGTGAGGGAACTGCACCAAATGCAGTCTAGCTCTGACAGTTATATTAAAGTCATAGTTCTTTGCCCAACTTTATATCAAGAACACATTTGGCAAGTGGAGTAGAGGAATCACTTTAATGAAATTCAATCTTTCATTTATCCAATGAATACTCACTGAGTGTCTATTCACATGCCAAACAGGAAAGAAGGATGACTTTTATGAGATTCAATCAATCATGTGTTCAACAAATATCTATCCAGTGCCTACTAATTGGCCCATTACAGTTCCAGGCTCTGGGAATTCAGCAGTGTATAAATCAGACAAGATCTGCTTTCAAAAAGTTAACATTCTTGTGAACAAGCAGATAATGTCATTCACCAAGTAAAGAACAGGAAGAAGTCTAATTAGCTTAGAAAATATAATTATGGCTTTGGCATGATAGCTAACTGGAAGTGTTTTATGCTTTGGTAGGAGATCATTATAACATGGCTTGTTAACTAATGGATTTAGATAGACTGAATGGAAAAGTACATTTAGAATTGAAAGGACCTTTAGGGGAAGTGATCTATTTCAAATTTAAAGGGAGAAAAGCACAAGAGAGTATGTTAGATTCCAACAGGCAGAACGAGGACTAGGTTACAAACTACAGGGAAATAGATTCATCACTCATCTCTCCTCTGGAGATGTACATGAATGCCCTAGAAGATGTAAACTTTTCACAAGTGATTCATCTACTGCATTTGCTAGATGTGGCCTTGCTAAAAAGATGCGCAAAAAGAAATGTGACCTTAATACCACTCTCAGAACTCTACTGCATTTGGTCTGATTCCTTCACAAACAGCAAGGGGTTTTCACAAGTGGACTGTGTACATGGAGAGCAGCTCCGGATGAAGGGCGATGACAGCTCTTACAGAACAGTGAGCTATGCGCTCCTCACCTGCGGGAACTTGACAATGATATGGTGCGGAATGTGCATCACGTTGTGCACATAGTCGAAAATCTCAGTAACTTTCCTTTTACTTGCAGTTAACATCTTTGGGATTTTGGTGATCATATGTTGAATTTCATTATGTTTAAAACCTAGTTCAAGCCGGTAAACCTAAGAGAAAGATAGAAATAGTTATTTTGGTAATATGCCAGGGGACACATTGATTCTTTCAAAATTTAAAATAAGGACATTAAAATCTGGAGATGGGGCTTCCCTGGTGGCGCAGTGGTTGAGAGTCCGCCTGCCGATGCAGCGGACACCGGTTCGTGCCCCGGTCCAGGAAGATCCCACATGCCGCGGAACGGCTGGGCCCGTGAGCCATGGCTGCTGAGCCTGCACGTCCAGAGCCTGTGCTCCGCAGCGGGAGAGGCTGCAACAGTGAGAGGCCCGTGTACCGCAAAAAAAATAAATAAAATAAAAAAAAAAAATCTGGAGATGGCTATTCCAATGACCTTACGGGTTCATAGTTTCCTGCTTCTGGGGTAACCTGAATTTTAAACCCCCTCCTGAGGATGAGCTAATCACAGCCTGATGACCACCATGAAGATCACCAAAAGGAGCTAGCATAATTACGAAATAAAAGTAACGGTGCTCACAGGAGGCCTGCGCAGGTTATCTGTATGGGCCCCACACCACACAGACCAACAGTAAGATTCTCAAAGTGCTTTCTGAGCCTCTGCTCCCAAGCACACTCCTATGCATGTCATCTGGAAAAACTACATGTCAAAATTCTAAACAGAGATGATTAAAAAAAAAAACACTCCAATGTAGGTTAGGTCCTCTGTGTGCATTCATAGTATCCCACGCTCCCTGACCAATCCATTGCTCTCATCACTCTGCGGGAGATCCCCACACTGGATCGTAAGCTCCACAACAGCAGGGACTATCTCCCCAGCATAGGGCATGGGCAGGCGCTCAATAAAAATTTCTTCAACGGCCGAGTATGAAACACTTTAGGCACCTCAGAAAATAGGCTTAATATAATAATTTCAAATACTCCAACAGCTTTGTATACTAACAAGTCAGCTGTACCTGGTTCTATCCTATCCTCTTGGAGGGAGGACAGTAAAGAGTGTCTGGTATGTTCTCTGATAGATCTAGAGCTGGCAATTGGCACAGGTTCTAGGAGAGCAATGTGCTGGCTACTGCTCTCTTCAAAGAAGGCTTCTGGCTCCAGGCTCCACAGCTCATCTCCCGCCTAGGTGACGAAGACACAGACCCTAACCCTGGGCAAAGGAAGCAGCTTCCAGGTCCCATCCAGATACCTAACCTGCTCCTCTAGGATTACGGGTATCAGTGTCTGCAAGGAGACTAACTCATGTAACACCTGGTTGACATGTGAAAAAATTATAAACTAAGATAGACTGCTTGCTAGATATTTATTATATCATTTCCTCTGTCTATCTTTTTAGAAATAACTTCTTTTACAATCTAGTTTTCTTTAAGATGGTGGGAGCAAATCTATCCTCTTCAGAGGACTTAACCACTTAAAGAAGCTGATTTCTCAAAAACTAACAGTCATCCTACCTTCATGTTTTCCTTCACAGGCTCCAGACTTCCAGTTAGTAGCCTTGGGAGACGAATTACCAGATCTCTAGTCTACAGTTATAAAACAATCTATTATTAATATGTATGCATATTCAACCAGGTTGGAAAAAACAAAGCATTACTAGGAATACAAAACTAAAATTTTAAATATGGCCCAGTAGAGAAATGCTAAGGAACCCAAAAATACATAAATTTAATATTGTTTGAGGAAAAAAACCAGTGCTCAGAATAAAACTTAAGAAACCAACTTGATGGAATTATTACAAAATGATATAGCTATATGATTAACCTAGCAAGGTAATTCATTCTTGTACAGAAAATATCAGGCATTTATAGAATTCATACAGGCCAAGTATCTGTTAGAAACATGAGATTTAACAGTTACTAAATGGAGCTGACATGGAAACATACAAATTCTCTCCTTCTCTTTACCTTCTTCACACTAAGTTCAAGTTCTTTCTGAAAAAATCCCAATCTGTTATCCAGTCTTTCCACTGAAAAACTCAGCAAAAATGGTGCATTTCTGACCATCTGTGCAATATCCACTTTACTGAAATTTTTTGACAGTAGATAAGCCACCCTAGAGAAACAAACAAAATACATGCACATATGATAAATATTTACTAGTGTCATATTCCCACACCAAAAAAAGTTGAAAACGTTCTATAAATAATGGCCCCAAATATGGTTAAAACAAAACAAGCATCCATCCAACTCTAGAATGGTTTCCATTTATAATTGGAAACAGAAAATAATTCTGAAATCCGCTAATAGACAGATTCCCTTTTCAGTTAATCTGACTTATTTTATTAGTTGGTAGAAAAAAATGAAATAGTTTCTGTTTAAGTTTTTGTTTGTTTTTTTGCTAAGAATAGAAAACACACAAATTAAGAAAAGAAGGGATTCAGAACTCTTTTTACAAAGAAAGACCATCAAGCATGGCTAAGACTGAAAAGAGGAAATTTTTTTTTTGGCTGCGCTGTGCGGCTTGCATGATCTTTAGTTCCCCGAGCAGGGATCAAACCCAGGCCCCTGGCAGTGGAAGTGTTGAGTCCTAACCACTGGACTGCCAGGGAATTCCTGGAATTTTTTATTTTAGTACATTTACTGAGAATGTATTTTCTTTTTTTTCTTTGGTGGTACGCGGGCCTCTCACTGCTGTGGCCTCTCCCATTGCGGAGCACAGACTCCGGACGCGCAGGCTCAGCGGCCATGGCTCACGGGCCCAGCCACTCCGCGGCATGTGGGATCTTCCCGGACTGGGGCACGAACCTGTGTCCCCTGCATCGGCAGGCGGCCTCTCAACCACTGCACCACCAGGGAAGCCCCAAGAATGTATTTTCATAAATAATTTTTACTGCGGTCCTTCAATATGTATTTTGTCAACAACTGAGAAGTTTCCTGCTAAATTTCTGGGAAACAAAGTAAGGTAGCAAAATACAGGAAGTTTGACTATAAAATAACATTATTTTTTAAAATCTATAAACATAGTAAAAGGCAGTTTAATTAAATGCCTAAAATATTCCTGGACATTATCTTGTTTAATTCTCATCAGAAAAAAAAAAGAAAAAAACAAAACAACTCCCTGTGAGCCAGGTAAATTTCCCACATTGCATTTGAGAAAACACACTCAGAGGAGATAAATAACTTGTCTTAGACCACCAGCTAATTAATGACAGACCTTACACTTGAACTCAGGCATGCCTACTTCTAATGACTATGATACTTTTATACCATATATTGGAACTTATTATATTTTATACTCAGTGACTATTACGCCTTTAAACCAGTCCCTTAGAGGCAATGAGAGAAAAAAAAACTGATAAATTTAACTACCTAAAAATTTTAAATGCGAGGCAAAAAGAAATCATCAACCAAGTCAGACAAGTGACAGTCTGGCAAAATATTTACAACATGTCACAGAGAAGGAACTAATTTTGTTAATATATAAAAAAATGCTTACCAAAAAAAGAAAAAGACCCAATTAAGAACAGCAAAGGACACTTCTAATACATAGAGAAGGAAATGTAAACAGAAGTTCGACATAGAAAAAGATCCTCACAAAAAAGAAAAGATCCTCCAAACATCATTTCCAAAACAATGAGGCAATGTTTTCATCTATGAAATGAACTGAAATCATAAAGTTTGATGACACTGTATTAGTGTGGAAAACAGGGAAATTGGCACTTCTGTACACTGTTGGTGGGAGTGTAAGCTGGACAACCGGTATGAAGGACAATTTGTCAATATCTATTAAAATTATAAATGCATATATCCTGTGACCTAGAACTTCTACGTCTAGAAATGTATCCTACAGATATACACCAATATGTGACATGATGTATATATAAGAGGAGTCACTGCAGCTTCTTTGTGATAGTAAAGCCAGAAACAACCACCATGTTTACCAAAAGGGGACTAGACACATCCACAGTATAAACTATAAAAGGGTTAAAAAGAATAGGCAGAGCCAATAAAAACTATCTCCAACATAGAGTTAAGGTAAGAATGTGAGGTGCAGAATGGTATGCATAAATGCTACAAACTGTATGTACATGTGTTCTTGTGTATGTGTATACATAGATACACATACATGCTTGTATATGATAGAACATTCTCAGCTAGTTGAACAAAAAACTTGATAATAGTAGCTGCCTCCACAGATGGGTCTTGCAAGGCTGATGAGGGATAGGAATATGTAGGTTGGGAAGGAGAATTACCATTTTTTTCCTTTGTTTTGGACACAGGAAAGATCAATATCTGATTAAAATATTGTTGAAACTGTTATCTACTGTGATAACTTTTCCAATAAAAAATTAAGATATAAGGCCCAGCCGAAAGAAAATTTCTAATAACTTAAATGCAGATTATCCATTTGAAAATTCTTAAAAAGAATTAACCAACTTTTTAATACATTTCAAATTCTCTTCATTGAAAAGAAAACAAGTATATGCGATCAGTGCTATTATAGAAATTCTAGAAAATAAGACTGCTGTACATACCAGAGCCAGAAGGTAAGTTCAAAAAAGATTATCATACCTTTGCCTCTTCCAGGAGAAGCTTATTTTTCACTGTATACCCTTTTGAGTACATGTGGTAAATTACCTATTAAAAAATTCCAAGTAACTTTTTAAAATGCTCCAGTTTAATTCGGCAGTCAGCCAGGTTTAGGAAACATTAGACTATACTATTACATGAGAGTATTATTTAATTGTTAGGAGCATGTGTGATCTTGAGCAAATTAACAAGCTGCTTTTAAGCTTATGTTTCCTTCATAGAATTAAAAGTAGGGAGACAGTACAGTGTAGTAGCCAGGACTCTGGAGTTAGACTAAGTGGATTTGAATCCCACTGCTACTTATACTAGCTGGGTAATCTTGGGCAAATTATTTAACCTCTCTGTGCCTCTCCTGTAAAATGGGGATATTAATAATAATGGTGCAGTAGGCAGCCTCTGAAACAGTTCCCAATGATCTCCACCTCCTGGTATGTACTCTTTCTTGAACTAAATCTTGAGCAAAAGGGCAAGTTGGTTTTTAAATGGGGAGAGAATGAGCATTCCAGACAGTCAGGAGGAGCAGAGCTAGACATGTCACACTGAGTTTCCCAGAGTCATTCTTTCCCTCCCCTGTATTGTAATAGCCTGTCTATATTACACCAGACTGTAAGTCACATGAAGGGAGAGAGTGTGTCTATCTAAGTGCCTTGCATATATAATACAGGTTCAAACTATTCAATATAAGAAATGTAGTTTTTTTTGTTCTGTTTTTTCCTAGTTCAGAGACTAGACACTGATAGTTCAAGGAACTGCAAAGCTCTCTGAAACCGGTGTGAGAATAGTCTAGGGCGAGAAGATTAGAGGCAGATTAGTTAGGAGACAGTTGCGGTATTCTTCACGTGAAATGATGGGGACCTGAGGTAAAGTATTCAAAGTGAAGATTAAGAGAAATGCATTGACTGGTTTGAGAGCAATAAAAATAGAACCAACAGGCCTTGGTAGTTTATTAGATGTGGATGATAAAAGAAGAGAAGCCAAAGTTAACACCAGTATTTCTGATCTGGGCAGCGGGGTGAACAGTGTTCTCATTCAGGCAATCTGGGAAGACCTAATTTACGTGAGAGGTGGGGGTGATGATAAATCCAAGATGCAAACTTATGAGACACAGACTCTGTCTCACTCTCTGATGTGCCCAATGCCCAGCAGGATTCTTACCTCACAGATCAATACTATCTCACTGTATCAATTCTCACAGATGCAATAAATTCTTTGAATGTTGAATGAAGTAAAAAGATGTTTATAAAAGTGCTATTTAAAGAAGAAAAAAAGGAAAAACCAAAATAGACAGAAATGATTAAGCAAATTATACAATATTTGCCAAAACAAGGTCAAATGTCTACCATCAAAAATTGTCCAGAAAGAACAACAGAAAAGATCAGGCTTTCATAATTTTAAGTGTACTATCAGATAATTTAGCCATCGTTAATGGATTTTTAAAAAAACTTATCCCAGTTTCCAAAGGATTGACTTAGCATTAAGTTGAAATCATAAAAATAATGATGGGTAGTTGAACAAAAGAACTGATTTAGATACTTAATTTTGATCAAAGAAGGTCCGTAACAAAAAAATAACATTCACATTCATTAATTACCTCAGTAGATCCTTGTGCTGCTGAGACTTAAAAAAATAACTGACACATATATTTCTTCATAGCCACTTCTAGGATTATGTGAAAATCATTCTAAAAGCCCTACCTGGTCTTAAGATTTTCAAGGTCTTCAGAGAAAATAGCATAGTTTTTCGTCAGGAATGTTCCCAGTTGGTTATCCTCTATGCCCAAATCTTTAAGAAACAGGAGTATTTGCTTAATGTCTTTTTCAAAATCCAGTCGCAGAAGGAGGTTGGCTGCATCTGGATGTTTTTCTATCTTGGATAAATCCACTCCTGTAATAAATTACGAACACCATTTGAAGATAACTGCTTGGCTGAGTCATTAAACTTTATGTACAGAAACACAAGAAATTACTGATGGAGATCAACAACCCATCCCAAGGAGACCTGAGACAGGCCAATAGAAACGTCTAAATATTTTTAAACTAATTTGGTTGCAGAAATAAAAATAAATTTTTAAAAAATGTAGTACTTATTTCAAAGCCATGTATAAAGGAAATTTGCATTTGGGGCTAAATTTCCACCCAAAACAAATTCACTACGTTTTACTGACCTAGGATCATCATTTTTACCGACGGTTTCTTGAATATTGTTTGTAGGATGCTTATGAGCCCCTAATGATCTCCACAGTAACTGCTTAACTGGTAATTCTGCAGGGTAACAAACCCTATGAATTGTTACTTTCTTTGAAGTTTATGGTTTCTTTAATTATAAGCATTATTTTAAAAATTTGTTTATGATCCCCTCCACAGAAGGAATAAAAGTTACCCTGTGTCTTAATCATTGTATTTTCTTTATGCTTTATTAGCATAAAGACAAGTACCTTGAAGGAGCTCAAGAAATGTCTGCATGAAGCAGGTGAACATACACAGCCCTCAAGTACAAAATGAAGCAGAAAGTATACCACCTTCAACCTTCACATATCCTTAGACTCTTAGGTAATCTAAGTAAATGAGACAAGGGACAGGAGAGATTAAGAAGGGGGGAAAAGCAAGTTGTTATTTTACTTTGGTTATGGATATAATTAGATGTTCACGTTAATTAGGCAGGGAATCAAAGTAACCCTTGATTCAAAATTCTCATTAAAACTAAGCATTTTATTCTCTCGCTTTTTTCCTTTTACCTGATTTTTAAAAATTAAACATGAACAGGAAAGGCCTATTCCTTATCTTTAAAATAAACATTTGAAAATAATGTAAAACTTTAGTTTAGACTTAAATTTTATATTCTTAAAAATATTTCTTCAGGTTAAAATGTAACTCTCAAACTGATTTCTAGATGCAACTTTACAGTCTTAAATATAAAAACAATGAAATAAAAGCACTTTTTTTAATGGTGTCTACAACCAGAAAAATAAATTATAATTCCATGTATTATTAGATCCAAATATAATTCCAAACCTAAATTTCTTGATATTAAAACAGGTATTGATATAAGATGATCATGAACAGAAAAACAGATTACACACACACACATACACACAGAATGAAGACACAGAATGAAGACCAAAAACAGGTCCAGGATGAACTACAAATCTAGTATACAATAAGGACATTTCAAATCAATAGGGGAAAAGACGGACTATTCATTAAAATATAATGGGACCTCTAGCTATATATTTGAAAAATAATAATTCCTTCTATGTCTGATACAAAAATTAATTTCGGATAGATTAAGAATCTAAATATGTACTCACTCTAAAGCTACTAGAAGAAAACACAGAATTTTAAAAATAATATTAAGTATGACTACACAAGCCATTGTATGGCTTTCTGTAATACATGTATTTGCATAGAAAAAGGTGGGGTAATGTATGGATTTGGGTAGAAAATTTGCACTCAACAAATTGGTGACAGTGGTTACCTTTGGAAAGTGGAACTGGAAATGTAGAGATGGTAAGAGTTCTTTCTCCTGTAACAGTCTGCACTTTTAACAACTAGATGTAATTCTTTTATAATTTAAAAATAATACTAATAGAAAAATAAATTAAATTATTCGATGGATGGATAAATAAGATAGAAACTAGTTCCAAAAATCTGTGATAAATGTGGAAAGGGATGCTTTGAAAATAACATAAAGGGTTCAGACTCCAAACTTAACTCAGTATTACAGCTGACATGTGCTGAAGTGCCTCACTCAGCATGAGCCGTTACACCCTGACTGTGCCGAAATCGAATTCCTGAAAAGCTGCTGCTTAACAGCAACAGGAGAGCAGAATCTCACCAGGAGAGCATACTGCTGTCAGCACAAATACTTGGGCTTACTCACGATTTCATTAACTTGAAAAAATAGTCACTGAATGCCTCTCATGGGACCAGGCACTTATGGGGATATAAAAAATGAATAATACATGATTCTAACTTCTAGGTGACCACAGCCTAAGTTGGCTTTACCCCATCAGCTCAGTAACTATAATTACCACTGTATTCACTTATGGTTACACATACTTAGTGTATCAATCAGGGTCTGGCAGGCAACAGTAGTTGTCCTAGAAAGTTCAAATGAAAAACACTTTAATGAAGGGAGTCTGTACAGTGGTGTGAGCAAAGTCAAGGAAACAAACAAGGGCATCCCTAGCGCTAAAGAGACAGGGAGGAAAGAGTGTTATGAGAACCCAGAGGGAGCCGGAAGCTATAAAGAAAGGGCTGCTCAGTAGGAGCTGTTGCCATGGAACAAAGCAGTTCCATGACCCAAGGCTGGGAGGGAAAAGGGAAAACAACTCCCACCTGCCCTCCCTCTTCTGCTACAAGTGCCCCCCACTGCTGAAGCTGCCCAGAAGCCAGCTGGCAAAGGAGGCCGAGTGCAGAGGTTAGCCTCCTGGGATAAAGAACAAGCAGAAAAAGGGAGAAAACAGATCTGAGAAGCAGAGAAGAACCAGGACACTTGAGTCCTCACAATGCAATCATGGTTCCTCTAGGGTACCGTTATTTAAGTTACTGCCAAGATGTGCTGTGGAAGTACCAGCATGCAGATGAAGGAATGGCTGAAACATATTTCAAAGCTCCAGGTATACTGTGAATTATTTAAATGTAGGGATGACATAGGTCTTATGTTTATCTGGCATTACCCGTAGCACCTCTCACAGGGCTGGGAAAGCCCTGAGCTTTCATGCCTGCAGCAGATGTCATCTTTCTCTCTCCTTTGAACCCACAGAACACTTTATGTGTATCTCTGTGTGGAATTTATCACTTCACCTTGCATTTTTGGATTTGTTATTCTTTTTATTTTTTTTTGCGGTACGCGGGCCTCTTACTGCCGTGGCCTCTCCCATTGCGGAGCACAGGCTCCGGACGCGCAGGCTCAGCGGCCATGGCTCACGGGCTCAGCCGCTCCATGGCATGTGGGATCTTCCCGGACCAGGGCACGAATCCCTGGTGGTGCAGTGGTTGAGAGTCCGCCTACCAATGCAGGGGACACAGGTTCGTGCTCCGGTCTGAGAAGATCCCACATGCCGCGGAGCGGCTGGGCCCGTGAGCCATGGCCGCTGAGCCTGCGCGTCTGGAGCCTGTGCTCCACAACAGGAGAGGCCACAACAGTGAGAGGCCCATGTACCACAAAAAAAAAAAGAAGAAGAAGATATGGCACATATATACAATGGAATATTACTCAGCCATAAAAAGAAACGGAATTGAACTATTTGTAATGAGGTGGATAGACCTAGAGTCTGTCATACAGAGTGAAGTAAGTCAGAAAGAGAGAGACAAATACCGTATGCTAACACAAAAAAAAAAAAAAAAAAAAAAAAAGTAAGGCAATAAAATAAGTGTAGGTTACTCAGACTTACCTAGAAGCACTAACTTCTTCAGAGTCTCAGAATGATCCACATAGTCTCGAAGTGTGAATGAAGATGGGGGCAGTGCAGGGTCCGCAATAATCCGAACGGCCTCCTCCTCGGAAATTGGCTGCAATGGAGACAATGGAGGCAAATCGTCCAGTCCTTTGCAGCCAGGATATGGAAAAGGAGAAGTGAGTTAGCTCTCCAATCTGTACACTTGAAGCTCTTTCTACAAAGACAGCCTCTTGCCTAGTTTGCTTCTTTTTGAATCTTGGCATCATTTCTGAACTAAACATCTCAAAATTCCATATATTTTCTACCTTCTAAGAGGTAAGGTTAAGACTCTTTAGAGATATCAACTACTATTCCTCCAAGATAAGAAATTTGTTGGTGAAATCCTGTACAAAATTCGTTTCCTTCACTTGTAATCAACAGGTATGAATGCTAAAGACCAACTGACCTTCAAGTACATTTTGAGAAAGAGATCGAGTTTACCACAGCTTGTTAAGTTGGCCAAAAGGACAGCATATCAGCCTGAATTGTATGGGTTCAAGTCACCACACCCTGAAGTGTCTTCACTTTGATCCAACCCCTTCTCCTCCAAGTTATTCTCAAATATGTCTGTAAGAGGACTTCTATGATTCTCTTTCTATCACCTACAATCCTTTGCCAAGGACATGACCTCTCTAGTATAGCCTTGAGTCTGAGGCTTGGTTTGTCTTAAGTCAAACCCTTAAGTATAGAAGATGCTGGTAACTGTAACCTACCTTAGGCTAAGGAATCAGGGCCGTGACTTTTTATTCTATTTTTGGTCTCTAATCACTACCCTTTCTCATTTCTCATAGCCAGCCTCCCCTCCCTGCCCTTACCCCCCAGCTTGCTTGCTTTCGTCTTCTACTTAACCTAATATTATCTCATTTATGGTGAAATATTCCTTGCATAGGAATGTGCCTAGAACAAGAAGCACAGGAGGGAGAAGACTGACTAAAAGAAACTACATGAGGGCACTTTATGGGGTGTGCTATTTGTTGTTCTTTTTGTTCTATTTGTTGTTTGTGGTGGCTGTTACACAGCTAAAAGCATTATGTCAAAATTCATAAGACCGTATACCCAAAAAGGAGGACTGTTACTTGGGTAAAATTATACCCTAACTAGGTATATAGAATAGGGTAAATTAAATACTAATAAACCTAATTACCACCAGAAAAAAAATTTTTTTAAGAATCTAAATAACGAACTTAGAAAGTGTTATTCATATAGCTATAAAACATTCTTATACATATTAATCTCTAAACTTTTTTCTTAGTCAGTAAAATAGAGGCATAAAAGAAGCAAATGAATAGAAGCGGCATTGTTCTTTTTCTCTCCTGGCACAAAGTATGACTTGAAATGGGCCAACAAAATGTAAACAGGTAGTGGTTCAATCTACCGAAGTGGGGCAAAGGGGAATTTGCTGAAACTTGAAAATTACCTTCTAGAGACAGTTCAGAATCAAAGCTGGGTATCTTTTTTGATGGCTCATTCACAGAAGGAAGCAGAGTGTTTTGGGCGCACTTAATCTCTTGACTACTTGAGTTGGTAGACTGGGAACTATTCCACACAGAGGAAGTCCGATAAGTCTTAAACCCCGACCGGAGAAAGCAATCGTCAGAGGACAGCTGAGGCTGAGCAAAAAAGCCAGGCAACAATGTTTTTCCTGCTCTGGGAAAACATTTTCTGAGTTGCAAAGCAGTAAGGAAGCTACTCAACTTAATTGAGTTGAGCCATCTGGGTATCTGTTGGGCTAGCAGGGCCATTTTTCTTAAAGTAGCCTACAAAAAGAATACATAACTATCAAAAAAGAGAAACGTATTTTACTTAAATGTTTAAAACAGTATTCAAACAACAAAAAGATAAACTGGAAATTATTTTTTTCTAATTAAAAGGAGTTTAATAAATTTAGATCCCTAAAGCAGTCAGATGTTTTTAAGCTCAGGAAAAGCCCAAAACAAGGCAGTTTCAGTTACAAACCAAAAGACAGGAACTTCTGAACTGGAAAAATAAAGATATACTTTGCAATTTAAAAACAAAAAGCAAAATCAGTGGCGTAAGAAAAACAATTAAAACAAAAATCTGTAAATGTTCAAATTACAGCTGAACCTGTTAATATTTAAAGAAAACAGGTGATGCAATTAAGTGCTCTTGAAATTTGGTTTGAAGGACATTTAAGAAGATTGCTGATCAAAATAACACTGAGGGCTTGCTTCCCTGGTGGCGCAGTGGTTGAGAGTCCACCTGCTGATGCACGGGACACGGGTTCTTGCACCGGTCTGGGAAGATCCCACATGCCGCGGAGCGGCTGGGCCCGTGAGCCTTGGCCGCTGAGCCTGCACGTCCGGAGCCTGTGCTCCGCAACGGGAGAGGCCCCAACGGTGAGAGGCCCAAGTACCGCAAAAAAAAAAAACAAAAAGAACAAAAAAAACCCACTGAATTATTCAGATGCATTTTATGTATGTACATTAATCACAAAATAAAAACAGGAAGAATTCTACTTAGTCTTAAATGAATCATAAAATATTATCATTGCTATCTAGAAGGTTGTTTCTTGCTTCATTCTCAGGGTTGAGCACTATTATTACACAAATAAAGCTGTTCCTCAAAAGAGAATTAAACAAAACCAGTTTTGCCAAATTCTGTTTGTAGGAAAAAAGAAAAAGCCTTTTAAAAAAAAGGGGTCAAAACTAATAAGCAAAATGAACAGACAGAAATAATAAGCAACCAGCAATGAATATACATATATTTTGACCCAAAAAGCAGTTGTTTTTAAAAGAGACTTTTATCAGGAAAGGACTTTTATATTTAGCCAGCTTAATTAAAGGGTAAATTTGGTGCATATTATTTTATATTAAGTAAGACAATCCATATAAAATATAGCACAGAGTCCAGCATATGCAAAATGCCCAACAAATGTTAGCCATCATCATCAATATTATTATTGATTACACAACCAAACATAAATGAATTCTGAATTAACTGTTGCATACAACTTTTAGATTTCTATCTATACTGAAATTCAGCTTGTTTTATGCTCTGAATTAGACCAGATAAATGCTTGAGGGTCTAACCTCTTAGAGATTTGTGGTTCAGGGAAGTCTCCTGAAAGGAATTTATAAAAGTGAAATGTCTCACTGTCAATCTGAAATGGTCTTAGAAAGGAAAAAAGTATTTACAATAAATAGCCTTGTGGGATAGGTGACTTTGTTAAACTTTGGTGGGAAATGGGCCTCCAAATCTGCCGTGTTTCCCCTCAAACATACAATATTCATTCTCTGCACAGCAATGTCATAAGGGCATTGAGCTGGAAGCCAGAAGACCTGTTATGCTGCATTAAGACTAAGTTTCTCACCGTGATCCAGCACAATGACTGGCCCATGATGGGGCGTTCAATAACCATTCTTTAAATGACAACTTTTAAAAAGGTTATGGGTACAATAAGGTGATTCTTAAGCTCCAAAGTGTTCTGACTTCTCAGTTTGTCTAAGCAATGTCCTACTTTAAAGCAAACTCCTGAAATCCCAAACCCACTCTGAAGCCTCTAGAGTAAGGCTCAAATTAAAACTCCTCTCACATTAGAACGACTTGCTTTTGAATTCTATCCATATTCATTAAAAGATCTTTATGCAAACAACTAATGTCTATCCTTCTGTTTTTATTTACAAGCGCACTATCTTCACTATATCATCATTTCATTGTTGTGTATACCTCTTAACAGTTGATTAATTGTTCGTTCACGAGAGCAGGGCTGGGTCTCATCTCTGGATCCACCCTCCCAGTGACTATTCCCTCTAGCCCAGAGCCTTGCACTGCTCCAATGCTTTATGGATGGAAATGAATCAGTTGCAACTACGGTTAGCTCATCTGCTTACACAGTATTTAAACCCGGTAAGGCATCTGCGCATGTGTATATAAGCCCTACCTCGTGATCAGCCCTCTAACACGACCCTTTTCATCAGGAAGCTTAAAGTTAAAGAAAAAAAACCTGTAATAATTCTGAAGTCCATTAAAATATGTCATATACTAGTTCGCAACTGCGTGCCTTAGTATTTCGTTAGGAATAGGAATTGGCACTTAAATATTCTTTGGCGAGGGTTCAAGATTTCGACCTGTGTAAGGCTAATAAATGAAATCAGGAGATGAAAGGTGGGTGGGAGGATGGCTTCGTAATACGGAGCCTCTCATCTACCGCTTGACGCCCTCCCTAGGCCATTTTAGTTCCCCAACCGAACTTCCGGAGGAAGGCCGTTAACATGCTGGCCCTCCTTCCGCGTCCTCCGCAAAGCGCGCGAATAAACAAACATGACTGCGTTTTCGTTTCATCTGCCAAGAAAACAAAACGAAATTATTCACCCTTAATTGAAGACCTAAAGGCCAAGAGGTCCCCGGGCGCGGCCTACAGCAGGATAGGGCCGGACCCGAACCCCAGCAGGGAGCACGCCCCTCGCGCTCCGGCGGCTTCCGCTTTACCTGTGGCTAGGCCTATGCCTCGTGGTCTTTCTCGCAGGGGCCACCAGACTGGCCGGGCCGCGCGAACTGCCCCGCAGCACAAATAACCCACTTGTCTGCCCGCCCGTCTGCTCCTAACTCCCTAGTCCACGTGGGCTGAGGCCGGAGTGGGCCAGACCATCTGCGAGGCTGCGCGGGGGGAGAGCGGGCGGCGTGCGGGGGACAGAGCCGGCCAAGAGCCACAGTTTCCCTTTTCCTAAGCGTCACCTCCCTCTAGACTCTTCCACTTAGAATCTAAAGCCACCGCGAGTCCCTAGAGATGCCCGTCCCCCAACGCCAGCCGGGGTCGGGCGAGCGGCGTCCCCCGCCCGAGGCTGCGTTGGCGGCGCCGCGACCCCGCCCTCCCGCGCCTGTCCTTCCCTCTGCTCCGTGTCTTTGCTTCTCGCCAGACCCGGCCCCGGCGTCCAGCCGCCTTCTCGCTGCGGCTCGTCACCTCCGGGGTCCCAGCCTCCACGGGCCGGGGCCGCCGCCACCGCCGCAGGACGGGGAGGCGGGCCATGGCGTCCTGCGTGGGGAGCCGGACCCTGAGCAAAGATGATGTGAACTACAAGATGCATTTCCGGATGATCAACGAGCAGCAAGTGGAGGACATCACCATCGACTTCTTCTACCGGCCGCACACCATCACTCTGCTCAGCTTCACCATCGTCAGCCTCATGTACTTTGCCTTCACCAGGTGAGGCGGGCCGGGCTGCGCTGGGGGCGCGCCTTTGGGCGAAGGGAAGGGGCGGATGGGAGGCCGTGGCGGGGAGCATGGCCGGGTGAGGAAGTGGGCTGATTGCTCCACGCACACGCTC